CGGGAGTGTCGGTGCAAGAGCTGGTGATAATGCACCGGTGACGACGCATTCTGGAGTTTTCCACGAGGCTGTTCGTTTTAGCCGCGTTTCCTAAAGACAAAAGTATCCAGCTTTGCAGAACTTGCTCTCCAGAAGTCGAGGGATGGGGCTGCCGCTCGCGCGTGAGCTGGGCTCTGGTCCCAGGGCAAGCTGGGACTTCTCTTGCCTTTTGGGCAGAGCCGGGGTGTCCTGGCAGGCTGGAGAGGCACGGGAGGACCAGCCAGGTGTGCTCCAGGGGTGCTGAGCGCCCCGAGCCCATAGAGAGGTTTAGAGTGGTGAAAACCTGCTTGCGTGGCTGGAAGAGCATCCTTGGCAAGCGGCTGCCGGGACGGGGCGCCTTCGGGGTGGGGGTCCGCGGAGGGATGCTTGGTGGGGGGGTGCCGGTATTCGGACCGCTGATGGGGCCCCCCCCCCTTCCCTCTTCTCTTCCAGAGCAAAAGCAACTTGAATCCAGACGCCAAGGAGTTTGTGCCCGGCGTGAAGTACTGACCGTCAAGGCAGGCTTTGGAAAGACTGTGTCCCTGCTCCGGGGGAAGGTGGCGGGGGGGAAGCAGGGAAGGGGATCGGCCCCCGGCTGGACTCTGCGCCGTAGCGGAGTTGCTGCAATGTGGCGAAATCTTGCTCTACGCTTCAAGTACCTTTTTTTTCCTTTTTTCTCTTTTTTTTCCCTTTTTTTTAAACTCTCCCTTTGTATCGTCTATCACTTTTTTTTTTTGCCAGTTTTTGCTTTCTAGGACTTGCAGCCCTTAGGTCTGCCCTGGAGTCCAGCACTCCCCCTGCTTCAGAGGCCCATTTCAACGCGCGCTTCAAACCTGCTAGTGGAAAAGCCATGTTTTCTTGTTTAAGTAGAATTTGTAGGGATCCCCCTGCCCGCCTGCTCCCTCCCCAGAGGCGGCGAGCCTGGGCCAGGAGCCGCGCTGGCTTTCCCTGTTTCCGTTAAACAGGATTTCTTTCGCTAAAGGAAAAGTGAAGTGTAACAAGACTGTAAACCCTAAATTCCTCCAAGCAGCAGCCTGCCCCAGCTCGCCGGTAGGTGCTGAACACCAACTCATACGCTTCTCTGCTGGTAGATGAGAGTCCTGCCTGCTTAATCGGTTGCGGGAGCTCTTAGGAGAGACCAGACCCCTCAGACACCACCCCGGCTGTCCTTCCCAAGGGAAGGGCTGCGGGCCTCCCCCTAAAAATTCGTCTTTTTAAAAAATTCCCCCCCCCCCGGCTCTTGAGCTTATCCAGCACTATGGGCTGTGGCTCTGAAGCATCCGTACCTTCCTTTCTCATTGAAATAAATCCGAGAAAAAACGATTAGAGCCCGTTCTCAGCAGAGTGGAGCGGTGGGGAGTTGGTGTCAAGCAGCCTCCCTGGGAGAAGGACCCTCTGCCAAGATGAGTCTGAGCCCCGAGGAGCACCCGCAGACGTAGACAGAGAAGGTGGTGGGCAGCGTCTTCGTGCTGGTCCCTGCGGTGCCCTTTGCTGAGGCTCTGGTGGCGGGTGGCCTTCAAGGCAAAGCCGCCAGAGCGGCTGTTGGTGAGCAGCATCCGTGCCTGTCGGGTGAACTTGCTCTTGGGGACCTCCTTCCCCATCGGCAGGAGCTGGCTGGGCTTCAGCTCCCCGAACCACGGCCCTGGGCGCTCCTGGTATTTTCAATCATGTCCTTAGCGTGGGCTCCTTTGGAGAGCCGGGGTCAGAAATCTGTATCCAGAGGAAGCAGGAGCTCCTCGGTGAGGGGAGTAGCCTAACGATTAAAGTAGTTACTGGCTCTAGTAACGTTTGGGGTGAGTTCTTGCTCATCCGTGTAAATCTCGCCTCCCGGGTGCAGTTACTTCCAGTATTCCCTTTACTTAAACGGAGTAGTTAATGGAGGGGGATTAGAGATCCCTGCGGGGTTTGCAGAGATGGAAGCTAATGGCCACTCGATAGCCGAGGGCTTGCTCCGTCTCCATTAGCTCGGCACAGCAAAGCCGGCGGCCGCAGCTCCCGCCGGCGGCGAGCTCAGCGGGAGGGCCCGGGGTTATCGGACCGCAAACACACTAATGGCGAGCGGAGGTTTGAGCTGATTTAACTCGGCTGCTCTCTGTTACAGTCCGCTCCGTAACTCAACAGATCTCCCGTCTCTGGCTGCCGGTCTTAAAACCAGCACTAAACCCTGACACTACCGCAGCTGGAGCCGGCAGCCTGTTGAAGGTGCCCACCTAAATAGGTGCCCGTCATCTTAAATATTGCTGCCCAGAGGTATGGGTTGGTTTGGGTTGAGTTCTCCTGTTTCCCGGTACAACCCGTGCCTTCAGCGCCTGCGCGGTCGCCTCCAGCTGCCGGAGGCTCCCTCCGCTCCGGGGCCGGAGCTCAGGCCGTGCCCCGGGGCTTTGCGGGACGTGATCCGGGGCGCGGGGAAGGGCAGCTGTACGCTGGGCAAACTTCTTTTGTAGCGGTAGCGCAGTTTCCCCCACACACACACCCCCAGCCCCTTTCTCTGGTTTCTGTTTGATTTCTTACAAAAAAAACCCACCCCCAACCCTCTGACGTGCTGTAAATTTCAGACAATGCGTTATTAAAAATAAACTTTTTGGAACTGAGCAGTGCAGAAGTCTTGCCTGGAGAAGGGGTAGGGTCTCCAACACCAGCTCGTCTGATGTCTCGGCCCCGGCGGGAAGCTCCTGGAGGATTTTCCTCCTTCACCCCCGCGACGGTACCGTTCCCTCCGCTCGGCTCCGCTGCGGGGCCGGCTTCCAGCATCCTCTGCCAGGGGCTGGGGCTCCCATGGAGCTGGCTGGGCAGAGCCTGAAATGGCTGGGGGAGGAAACGGCTCCGGTTTATGCCTGGTCGGGAACTTGGCACCTAGAAAATAAAATTTTAAAAAAAAAATTTGAAAGCCAGGGGAGGAGGATTCCCAGCATGGAGGCCACTGCCTCTTCTGCTGCTTCTTCCCCCGGCTGGACATGGGGTATTGCAAACCCCAGCGCCTGGCCCCACGGCTTCGTCCTGCTGCTGGACGAGGCCATTGCTTGCTGGACGAGGCCGTTGGCGGAGGAGCCTTGCTGGGACACCGTGCCGGCGGAGCCGGGGCACGGAGCAGCCTGCCGTGGCAGAGTGAGCCTGCGGGATCAGCCCCGCTCGGTACGTGAGCTCCGTGCCCGTCCCAGTGCCGCCTGCGCTTCCCAGCCAGTCTTCCTGGAAGGAAGAGGCAGCTTTTGGGTTTGTGCTTTAGGTCAGGCACAGCCCCTTCCCGCTTGTTTTATACGCAAGAAGAAAAAAAAAACAAAAAAAAAAGGGGGCTTTTCTTTTTTCTTCTTCCCTTTTAACTGAAGACCAGCCCCAGGAAAGCTGCTTGAACTCAACGGGGGCAGGACCAGCCCCAGCCTTCCCCTTTCGCCAGGGCCACTGCTCGCTGTTAGCGCCCAGCAGCATCGTGTCCTTCCCCCTCCTCCCCATCGCCGTGGTCCCCGGAGCCGCTGGCAGGAGGTACCCGCACCCCGCTGACTTGGTGCGCGCCCTGGGTACTCAAGGCATCCTCCTTCCTCCTCCTCTTCTTTCTCCTCCCCAGCAGCTCTCCCCTCCTGTTCTGCGTGGGTCCAGCTGCCCCAAGCGCCAGACCCCATCCCTGCCCTTGCCGGCAGGCTCAGCCTCCAGGCAGGCCTGGGCAGCCCCCACGGCCACGGCCGCTGCAGCCCGCTCTCCCCGGGCACCGAAACGGGAACCTTCGAGCTCCATTTTAGTTCATTTTCCAGCAGCCCCACCACGGCTGCGCCGGGGCCGGTTCCTCTCCCCGTGGCCGCCGAGCCATGCTCC